TACTGAGAAAACAAGCATGAGCCAAAAATCACGTAACTTTTATATGCACTAAAAAAACAAAATATTTGTGTGATTTGCTTTATTGTGATATTTGTCTGTTGAAGTGGTACGAAACCAAACTTGCAGTATCTCCAAGATATGCTTGTATTCCAGAACCATTTGTTGAAAAGACTATTCTTTTTCTATTGAATCATCTTTGTACCTTTTTCCATAACTTAATGAACTTACCTGTGTGGATCTATTTCTGGATTATGTATTCTTTTTTTCTATCTCAGGTTCAATTTGCTAATATTTCGTTGAGCATTTTTGTGTCTATGCCCAGTTATTGGTCTGTAGTTCCTTTGTATGGTCTTTGGTTATAGTATCAGGGTGATGCTGGCCTCATAGAGTAGGTTGGGTGCTCTCCCTCTTCAGTGTTTTGAAAGATACCATGTAGAATCAGCAGCATTTCTTCCTTAAATGTTTAGTAAATTCCCCGGGGAAGCCTGTCCTCACTGATGGAAAACTGCCAGTGTAGAAAAGTCGGCTCTCTGAGGCTTCTACAGGGACTAAGGCAGGGAGGAAAGGAAACCAGGAAACTGTAGCATAAGGTCCAGAGGGTTCTGGCCCAGACAGAGCAGCAGGGAGGCCCCGGGAGCTCCTTCCCGATGTGGGCTGTGGTCTCTGCAGGTGCTGTCCCTGGACACCAACATCACAAACCAGGTGAATAAGCTGAACCGAGACCTGCTTCGCCTGGTAGATGTCGGCGAGTTCTCCGAGGAGGCCCAGTTCCGAGACCCCTGCCGGTCCTACGTGCTTCCTGAGGTCATCTGCCGCAGCTGTAACTTCTGCCGCGACCTGGACCTGTGTAAAGACTCTTCCTTCTCAGAGGTGCGGCTGAGCCCCAGTGGGGTTTTCACTGTAGAGCAGAACATCTGAGGGCACTGCAGTGTCTTGGGGGCTTCTGCAGCCCCAGCTCTGTAGGTCACACCTGCTGCCGCTCTGACTCACGGATTGGCAACAGGCCCCTTCCCAGACCTCCCCATACCACATTCGGAATGTTGTCCTAGGAAGGGCTCAAGCGCAGGTGGGAGGCCGGAGCGCGCGCAGCTGCACTCAGGAGACTCGCTCCTCAGCAGGCGCTTCTCACAGCCCCTTCCTCTCCTGAGATCCTGCGCAGGGCACTGTGGTCTGGAGGCTGGGCCAGTGACCTCTTGCACTCTTGCTCTGCCTAGGATGGGGCAGTCCTGCCTCAGTGGCTCTGCTCCAATTGTCAGGCGCCCTACGACTCCTCTGTCATCGAGATGACGCTGGTGGAAGTACTGCAGAAGAAGCTGATGGCCTTCACTCTGCAGGACCTGGTGAGCAGTGCCTGCTGCCCACCCGTGTGCCCTGGAGTCCGCAGAGGGGTTTCTGTGCACTCCCGGGAGCCGGGGTGTGTGCAGGTCCTGAGGCACGCCCTGGTGTCCTCCAAAGGGCCTGCCCTGCAGGCTGGCCTTGTGGGTGCTTTGTTCTAGCGGAAGGAGGCAGACGCTCCCAAGTGTGAAGAGAAGGAAAGGAGGAAGAGGGAGTTGCGCAGCTTGGCCACAGGAAGGCCTTGCTGAGGGGCATCTGAGCAGAGGCTGGGGGACGCACCAAGCTGCCGTGTGGTGGCACACGGCATCCAGGCCTGCAGGATGGAGGGCGTGAGCAGGGCCTGGAGGGGGCCTCAGGACTGGGCGTCTGGGATGGGACACCCACAGCGAGGATGGGCGTAGGGAAGGCGCTGGCAGGGTGGGATGAGGTCGTGCATTTTACTCATAACTGAGGGGCTGGCTGCGCACAGCACAGGCTCAAGGCTTACTGATGGGCCCACGAATGTGTCTTGCGAGCCTGTGAAGAAGCAGCAGGCAGGTCTGGCCGGGGCGGGAGGGCCGGCGCCCATCGGGGTTGCTCCCTTTCAGATCTGCCTGAAGTGCCGAGGGGTGAAGGAGACCAGCATGCCTGTGTACTGCAGCTGCGCAGGGAACTTCGCCCTCACCATCCACACCCAGGTGGGCTTTCCTTCATCTGCCTCGGTTCAGCCTAGCCTCCTTGGCCTCCTCTCTGAGTGGACTGGGGTCTCACTGTGCCTGTTTATTCCTGCAGGTCTTCATGGAACAGATCGGAATCTTCCGGAACATTGCCCAGCACTACGGCATGTCGTACCTCCTGGAAACCCTGGAGTGGCTGCTGCAGAAGAACCCACAGCGGGGCCGTTAGCCAGCCCCAGGCCCTGGGTGCCTCTGCGTCCGTGCCAGGCCTCCTGATGCCAAGGCCACATCCCCGTGCTTTCAGTGACCAGACCACTAACCACCCTGACTGTCCAAACTTGTGACCCCACGCCAGGGAACGGGGAGGAAACCAAAGAAAACCATTTTCAGGGAGCTCAGATGTCACAGGAAGGAGTGGGAGCAGGATGTGGCCCTAAGGCTGCGGGTGCCCTGGCCACTGTTTCTTATGCAGTGAATGCTTTTCCAGGCCTCTGTTGCTTCCTGCACCACACCTGGTGGGGTGGGAGAGTCCTGTAGGTGCCCCCAGTTCTTTTTTTTTTTTTTTTTGAAACCATTTCAGGAGCTCAGATGTCACAGGAAGGAGTGGGGACAGGATGTGCCTTCTAAGGCCATGGTGCCCTGGCCACTGTTTCTCTCTCTTATGCAGTGAATGCTTTTCCAGGCCTCTGTTGCTTCCCGGTACCCACACCTGTGGGGTGGGAGAGTCCTGTAGGTGCCTCAGTTCTTTTTTTTTTTTTTTTTTTTTTGAGATGGAGTCTCGCTCTGTCGCCCAGGCTGCTGCAGTGGCCGGATCTCAGCTCACTGCAAGCTCTTTTCTGCCTCCCGGGTTCACGCCATTCTCCTGCCTCAGCCTCCCGAGCAGCTGGGACCACAGGCGCCCGCCACCTCGCCCGGCTAGTTTTTTTTTTTGTATTTTTTAGTAGAGAATAGGGTTTCACCGATGTTAGCCAGGATGGTCTCGATCTCCTGACCTCGTGATCCGCCCATCTCGGCCTCCCAAAGTGCTGGGATTACAGGCTTGAGCCACCGCGCCCGGCCAACCCCCAGTTCTTTGTCCTGCCTCCCAGAGGGAGGAAAAGCCCCTGGGGGCTTCTGGCTCCCTGAGATTGGGCTCTGAGACGAGATGGGTTCCCAAGGCCCTGGTGGGGCTGGAGTCTCACCTGTTTGCATGGAGAAATGGGCTGGCCCCACAGCCTCACAGGAGCAGTTTGTGGACTGGTTTCCCCGGGAATCCGGACCCTAACCTATGAGAATCTGGATTTTGACTTGTTGAGCCCTGCTCATTTGGAGCCAGGTCTAGAGGGAACCCCCCATCAGCCTCAGGAAAACAAGACTTCTGTGCACCTCACTTCCGGCTCACCACAGCCCTTGTCCTTCACCTCCACACAGGACCGGCTGGAAGCAGAAAGAAGAAAGGCCAATTTCACAGGGCACCAAACAAGTATGAAATGTAAATCAGGAATTCAGACACCCCAGGCGAGAGCCTCACAGGAGGGAGGGGTCCCACAGGCTCCCCAGGAGGCTCACATCTTTGGCCCACAGCCAGCCTTAGTTTGTCCCTGCCATCTGCTGTCCGAGGCCATCGCTGCTACACTTTGTTTTTATTTGCATTTCATACTAAAATTTTTCTAGGTTGTCACTGTGTGTTTGTGCAGGGCGCCTCAGATGAGGGGACTGAGTACCACTGGGCATGTGTTTGGCCCTTGGATGCTGCTCGGGCCGCCTGCCTGGAGAAACCTGATGCCTGCTCAGATGGAGGAGTGCTGAGGCCTCCAGAGTGGAGATCAAATCAAATTAGGGCAAGCAGGGGAGGAGGGAGGCTGGCTGACTGGGTTTCATTCCTGGAAGCAAATCTGGAGAACCTTCAGGGGAGTGAGGAGTGATGGGGCCGGGGACAGCCAGCCGTCCCTCAGGAAGACCACCTAGCAAGAACAGGGGTCGCCCGGTGCAGCCACGGGTGCTGGCCAGCCTGGGTTTACTCTGAGGCAGCTGGGGCTGGCGGCATTTGAGCAGTGGTGGAGGGGTCAGAAATGGGAAGCTCTGGCCCTGGTTCCCAAGCAGCAGCTCAACCAGAAGAGCCAGTTTCTCCAAAAATGAGCTGGATATTTGTGAGCCACACAGCATGTGCAGGCTGTGGGGTGACCTGAGGCCAGTGCCCCAGGCTGGGAGGCCACAGTCAAGGGAAATGGGGCCTGTGAGAAGACGTATTCTCGCCATCTGAACACAGAGCTGGGGTGAGGACTCCAAACTCAGGCTTTAAGGTCCGACCAGGGCCGTCTTCCCCGCCCTTCTCTGCCCTTTGACCTTTGGGAGTAGTGTTGCTCTCCTGAGACTGGGTTTCCCTTCAAAGACAGGATGCCATCTGCCCCTGGCACAGGCGACTTCATGATGCTCAGTTCTGGGCTCCTCCCCCACCTGGTGGGCACCAGTCTAGCCACTGCAGCATCTAAGGATGCAGTAACCAGATTACCCACAGGCCCTGATCCAGTTAGTGCCGCTCCCAGGCTGGTGTCCCTCCACCCCGGCCTGGCCTGACTTCCCATCGGCATTCCTGCCCCCACCCATGGAGTAGGAATGAACACTGGCCTGAGCACTGCTGTAGTCTGAGCTTTCGTTTTCCTCGTGTTCAGCTGTCCCTGAGCTTTCGTTTTCCTTGTGTGCAGCTGTCCCTGCCTCCCTCCCATTTCTCTCTTCCTGAGTCATGCTGTCCTCCCACATTTTGAGATGAGCCAGCTTTGGTTTGGAGTCTGGGGTGGCCCTGTCAGAAGTAAGTGCACTGAGGAAGTGGCCTGGGTCCTGGTGCGCTCCCAGCCTGGGCAGACCTGACCGTGGCCCGGCTGGCTGTGGGGACCGAGGGTCATGGGGCGGGCAGACGTGCCCTGCACACTCCCAGGCTGCTTAGAGGGGAGATGACTCATATAAAGGTCACTGTGCAGCCCAGCTCCAGGCCAGCAGGGCCTGGCCTCCCATATTCATAGGCTGGCGATGCTTCTCCGCAAGGAATGAGGCCAGAAGGTTCTGCTCACAGGTTTATTGGACTGAGTATGTTGTGACTTGGAAGAGTCTGGGCAGATTTGAGGTTACACCTGTGGGGTGGGGTGGGGTGAGGGTTCCCAGGGCCCAAGACCAGGAGCAGAGCCCCTCAGAGCTTAGCTGGCTTGGGTTCCAGGTGGCTGTGAGGTGATGGGAAGTGAGCAGCCCTGTAGGGGCCAGCTGGGGAGGAGGTGTCGGGCTGGTATGCCAGGGTGGGGCACAAGCCTGGGGCCAGAGCGCACCCCCAGCCCTTGCACAGGGACCCTACGGTGCCCAGTTTTTGTGGAGATGCCCTGCTACTGAGGTGCCCATGTCTACTGTGCAGGGTCCCTAGCCAGGGACTGTCTCTGGCCCCACCAGGCCAGGTCTGCAGTCCAGTGTGACGGGAAGGAGCTCAGAGTTGGGCCAAACCTTTGGGGTCTGTGGGTGTGGAGGCTTGTGGGGCAGGCTCGGAGGCAGGAGTGATCTGCTCAGATGGGGCAGAGGTGGGGCAAAGCCGCAGGGGTGGGAAGGCTGGGCCACACTCTGCCCCTTGTTGGCCCTCCTGGCCTGATGGAGGGCTGGGGTGCTGGTCCTCGGAGCAGTGGCCGGGTTGGGGTGGGGCCTGGCCCAAAACACGGGCAAGGGTCACAGGCCAGCTACCTGAGGGGCGGCTCGGCGTACACACCTTGTCAAATTTCTTATGGCTGTAGACCTTGTTTTTGTTCATGAATGTTAGCAAGATCCAGTCGCACAGGAAGGAGCCCTGGGGCCAGCAGAGACCGGTGTGTAAGGGCCCGGTGGACACCCCGTACCCGCTGAGACCCCACAGAGGGTTTCTTACCACCCCGACGGAAGTTAGAGCTGTGGCCAGATTAATAATGGTGGGAATCAGGCTGAATTTCCCGGCCTGGGGAGAAGAGGGTTGTGGTCAGATGTCTGATGCCTGATGGAGCTGGAGGGAGGGGTGGGGCCTGAGGAGCTGAGATGACACAGGCTAGCAGGGCTGGCCACGGCCCCAGCAGGTGCAGTCACCTGTCCATGCACGATGACATCAATGCGGATCCCGTAGGCCTTGATGAGCGTGCGGGTGGTGGTACCATTGATCTGGTAGTACTTGGCAAACCTGGAATTGGAAGGCCTGGAAGCCAGTGCCCACTTGTCCTCTGTGCTCCAGGGCTGCCCCATGGGCACTGGGCCTCTCGGGACCCCACTGCAGCTATGCCAGGGTGGACAGCAGTGTCCCAAGTACAGTACCTGAAGTTGTAGCCTGACGAGGCAGGCACGTGCTTGGGGTCAAGCCTCCGGAAGGAGTACTTGGGGTTACACTCCGACGCGGGCAGGTCCAGGTCACAGTCCCAGTTGATAATGACCCCGATGACACCACCCTGCCAAGAAGGAGCCAGGGAAGGGGGTCAGGAGGGCACACAAGAGGCCCCTCAAGAGTCGGGGTCAGTCCCAGGCTGTGTGTGAGGTGTGCACTGAGGGGCCCAGGGGAGGCTCAGGGGTACCGGTGGGTGTCCAGTGTCTGAGGCACAAGGGGTGCCAGCAGCCAGCCCTGTGGCCAGTGTCAATAATTCAGCAAGCGCCACACAGGACAGGTTGTGCTGATCGCGTTTCTTTCCTCTGCCTGAGCTGGGCCAGCTGGTCAGGAGGGAGGAGGGACTGGTCCCCTGTACCCCAGGCCCTCCCTGTGCAGGTGGGAGCCCACCCTGGCCCCACCCCGCCTGCGCTTGCCCTGCCTTGTATGCGAGCTCCGCGAAGCTCTCCCCAGCCTTTTCCACAATAAAGCCCAGCTTGAAGATGGGGCAGTAGAGGTCGGAGGCCTCGTGGAACGTGCAGCGCTTCAGGTACCCATCTGTGCGGTCCGCGATGTTGCCCCTGAGGAGGAGGCAGGAGGCGAGGCCTGTACCCCAAATACGCCATTCCCAGGAGGTAGCCCCCATGCTGGGCCGTGGCCACACCCCGCGGCTCTTACTTGGAGAAGTGGAATTTGGGGTAGTGGATGCTGTTCTTGATGAGGATGGTGAAATTTGGGGCCATGGTACCCAGAAATTGGCTGAGGAGGCACAGACGGGTTGTTAGTCCCTCCTCCTGCAAAGCCCCCTCCTGGCATTGGCCCCCACCCCTCCCCAGCTCCTGTCACTCCTGCCCCGCCCGTTTGGCCTCTGGTCAGAGAAAAAGGATCAGAGTGGAGGCTCGGCCCCAGGCCAGGGCGCAGGTGCACCTGACGGAGGCCCCATCTTCCACCGGGCACCAGCCGAACACCTCGCAGGTCTTGGAGGGCCCCTGGTAATAGGGCACACAGCGCCCGGTCCGCAGGCCTGTGGGGCAGAGGTCACTGAGGCATTAGTGAGGACGCAGCCCTGCCCCACCCGCCCAGCCCCAGCTGGTGCACACTGACCGTTTCCCAGCATGTCCGGCTCCCCAGTCACACAGTCGGCGTCGGAGAGGCAGGTGGCATTGTGGACCCTTATGCTCTAGGGTGGAGGCGGCCCAGTCAGGGACCCCGCAAGGGACAGCTGGCCCGCCTAGCTGAGGCAGGGTCCCCCAGCGCCGCGGGATCCCCTCACCTCGGGGCAGGTGCCCTGGGTCTGGGAGTGGGTGGCCTCGACCCTGGTGATGATGCTGAACACGCTGCCCCCCTGGGCTCAGAAAGAGGGGGAGGTCGGCCAGGCGGCAGCTGCTGCCCCCTCGGCCCACTAGGGTGGGGTGCACGGCGGGGCGGGGGGCAGGGGGCGGCCCGCACCTCCGGGGGCTTCACATACTCCTCCACGTCCCACACTTTGTGCTCGGACGTGGTGATCCCCTTGACCTTGGTGATGATGGAGCTCTCCGGGCCCGTCTCGCTCTCCTGGTAGCTTTTCTGCACGATGAAGACGTACCTGCGGGCGGGGGCGGCACCGGCTCCGGAGGCGACCCCGGGAACGCTGAGTTCGCCCGCAGGCACGGGCCTTCCCGCGACCCAAGTCCGCTCTGCGGGGCTGTTGGGGCCTGCCCCACGCCCTCGGTCCCAGCCCCAGCCCCACGCCCTCGGTCCCAGCCCCTGCCCCACGCCCTCGGTCCCAGCCCCCAGCCGCCCTCGGTCCCAGCCCCAGCCCCACGCCCCACCGGTCCCAGCCCCAGCCCCACGCCCTCGGTCCCAGCCCAGCCCCACGCCCCTCGGTCCCAGCCCCCAGCCCACGCCCTCGGTCCCAGCCCCAGCCCCCCGCCCTCGGTCCCAGCCCCAGCCCCACGCCCTCGGTCCCAGCCCCAGCCCCACGCCCTCGGTCCCAGCCCCAGCCCCACGCCCTCGGTCCCAGCCCCAGCCCCACGCCCTCGGTCAGCCCAGCCCACGCCTCGGTCCCAGCCCAGCCCCCGCCCTCGGTCCAGCCCCAGCCCCACGCCCTCGGTCCCAGCCCCAGCCCCACGCCCTCGGTCCCAGCCCCAGCCCCACGCCCTCGGTCCCAGCCCCAGCCCCACGCCCTCGGTCCCAGCCCCAGCCCCACGCCCTCGGTCCCAGCCCCAGCCCCACGCCCTCGGTCCCAGCCCCAGCCCCACGCCCTCGGTCCCAGCCCCTGCCCCGCCTCGGTCCCAGCCCCTGCCCACGCCCTCGGTCCCAGCCCCAGCCGCCTGGTCCCAGCCCCAGCCCCACGCCCTCGGTCCCAGCCCCAGCCCACGCCTCGGTCCCAGCCCCAGCCCACGCCTCGGTCCCAGCCCCAGCCCCACGCCCTCGGTCCCAGCCCCTGCCCCACGCCCTCGGTCCCAGCCCTGCCCCACACCCCAATCCCAGCCCCAGCCTCACACCCTCGGGAGTCCCAGCCCCACGCCCTGGGTCCCAGCCCCTGCCCCACACCCCCAATCCCAGCCCCAGCCCGCCCCCAATCCCAGCCCCTGCCCCATGCGGTCCCGGTCCCAGCCCCAGCCCCACGCCCTCGGTCCCAGCCCCAGCCCCACACCCCCAATTCCAGCCCCTGCCCCTGCCCTGCGCCTCCAGCCCAGCGCCCCCTGTCCCAGCCCCTGCCCCGCGCCCCGCGCCCCGCGCACCACACGAAGTAGAGCAGGATGAGCAGCTGCACGGCGCGGTACAGGACGCCCAGGCGCCGGTTCCTCACCACGATCACCTTGGGCGTCTCGTAGTCCCAGAGGGCGGACCAGCAGCCCCGGACCAGGCGCCGGGCGGTCGCCCCCGCGGGGGACTTGGGCTGGGCGGCGGCCATGGCGCGGGCGGCCCCCACCTCCGGGAAGCCGCTGCCGGGCTGAGGGTCGGCCCCGCTGCGCACCGAGGGCGGGGGGCGCGGGGTGGGCGGGGAGATCGCGGCTCCGCCTCCGGGGTGGGGCCTCGCGCCCGCCCGGCCCCGCCCCGCCCCGCAGGTGTCCCGGGCGTCCCAGGTGGGGCTCGGAGCGGGGCCTCGCGGGGGCAGAGCCGGGGGCGCAGCAGCCCAGCCCCAGCTCCCGGCGCAGGTGGGGGCCGAGCGGGGAACCCGCGGTCTCGAAGCTGGAGGGTCGGGATTCCCCGGGTGGGAACTTCTTCGAGCTCCAGGAGAAGGACGAGGGAAGTTCCGCCGGCCTCCGCCGCGCCCCGACCCCGTCCCGGCCGGTTCCTGCCGCGGCTGCCGGGGCTTGGAGCGGAACCTGCACTCCCGCCTTTGCCCGCAGACCCCTCGCTTCCAGCCCTCGAGCTGGAGAGGGATCACGGCCGATCCGCTGTCTTTGCAAGCCAGAGTTTTCTTTCTTTCTTTTTTTTTTTTTTTAACTTTTCGAACCTCTACCCCACCCACATCATTTTGAAGCAAATCCCAAGCATCACAGTTTTTCACAAAATAACTTTAAAATGGTTTATTGTGATAAAATCAGCATAGCATGTGATTAACTATTTTAAAGTAAACAATTCAGTGACATTCACAATATTGTGCAACCACCACCACCTCTATTTCATCCCCAAACACTTTCCCCATCCCAAAATAAAACTCCCATCCATTAAGCAGTGACGACCTGTTCCACACTCCTCCCATGCCCTGGCAACCACCAGTCTCTTTTCTGCCTCAATGAATGGATTTGCCTGTTCTGGATATTCCGTATCAAGGAAATGCAATATTTGTTTCTGGGTTAATGCCTTTTCTGTCTGGCTTCATTCACTGAGCATGTTTTCAAGGTTCATCCACATTGCAGCTCACTCTTCCTTGCAGCCAAGAGAAATGTCTAGGCTGTACAAAGAAGGCATTTAGATGGCTTTCAAACTAACTCTGTGAATAGCGCTGTTATAAACACTGGTGTGTAAGTATTTGTTTGAACTGTTAAATTAACTCAACAGGCTGCCTCTGCGCCTTGAGTTTCTAGGTAACAACAAACTGCAGCCTAATGTACCACAGAAACAAACTGAAAGCCTAACTTAGGAGTATATTTTGGAACAAATAGCTAGGTCTCAGCCAATCACAGGCTGCCAACTGATCTGCTCATGTCCATATAAGGCAAGCACCTCAAGCTGTAACAAAATCAAACTAATTGTGATTTTTTTTTTTTGTATCTCACTTCTGTGTTGTCTATAAAAACTGCCTGCCTACATTACAGAGTGGAGCTCTCACACCTCCCTCATTGGTTCTGAGTGCTGCCCAACTCATGAGTTGTGGAGTTGTGTTTTGCTCAATTAAACTCTGTTGGCTGGATGCAGTGGCTCGTGCCTGTAATCCCAGCACTTTGGGAGGCCAAGGTGGGTGGATCACTTGTGATCAGGAGTTCAAGACCAGCCCGGCCAACATGGCAAAACCTCATCTCCATTAAAAACACAAAAGTTAGCCTGGTGTCGTGGCGCCTGTAATCCCAGCTACTCGGGAGGCTGAGGCAGGAGAATCACTGGAATCTGGGTGGTGGAGGTTGTGGTGAACCGAGATTGCGCCACTGCACTCGAGACTGCACAACAGAGCGAGACTCTGTCACACACACACACACACACAAACTCTTAAATTTAATTTGCCCAAAGTTTTTAACAGTTTGGTGTCAGAAGTGGGATCTGAAGTAGACCTCCAGCCACCCGCTAGGAGCACTGAAGGGCCTGTGTGCCTGCTGATCTCTCAGAGCATCTAGAATCATAGGTGAGTTCTCTCTGATGGATTTGTGCTCTATGAACATGTGTTTTAAGCCCTCTACTTTGAGCAATACTTTCTTCCTTTTTTTTTTTTTTGAGATGGAGTCTCGCTCTGTTGCCCAGGCTGGAGTACAGTGGCGAGATGTCAGCTCACTGCAAGCTCTGCCTCCCAGGTTCAAGCAATTCTCCTGTCTCAGCCTCCCAGAGCTGGGATTACAGGCACATAACACTGTGCCCAGCTAATTTTTTGTGTGTTTTAGTAGAGACACGGTTTCATTGTGTTGCCCAGGCTGGTCTCAAACTCCTGAGCTCAGGCAATCCACCCGCCTCGGCCTCCCAAAGTGCTGGGATTACAGGCATGAGCCACCGCGCCCAGCCTTGAGCAATTCTTAGACTGGAATGGGTCCAGGATTGAATTGGATCCAAAACTTAACTCCATTGTTAGAGGCCTCGAGTAGGTCCCTTTTGGTTCGGGTTTGTCTGAGTCCAAGGAGTCTGCATGCCACCTTCTGGGACTCTTGCTAATTTTGTGTGTAAGAACTATGGACCCAGAACTTGTGCATTTTTTAGAAAAATAGGTTAACCCCAAACTCAAAAAGACCCCTCCAGATTCTTGGAACCGTACACCTTTTGGAGACCTTATGGTAAAGCTAACCAGGGAAGTTTTCCCCAGAAGCAGATGGCATCCTAAATGTGGACAGCTTTTCCAAGATCACGAGTCGACACTTCTCCACCATCATGAAAGCCTTAGCCTCCCCCCAACCCCTTATTTCCTGCTGTTTGAATCTTTTCCTTTTTGTTACAGGGAAATCCACAAGACCATAATATGTGGATGACTTTAGCTAAGGCTTATGCTCTAGGAAAAACCCAGAGTGCTTGTTGGGTTTGTGGGTTAATGCCAAAAACCAGGAAACTATGTCAATCCCTGTCATTCTTCATGATGACAGTCAACCTGGAACTCCCAGGGGAGAGTGGAGAGCGTCCCCGCCCGCGTGTCCCAGGGGAGAGTGGAGAGAGTTCCCGTGTCCCAGGAGAGGGTGGAGAGCGTCCCCACGTCCCAGGGGAGAGTGGAGAGTGTCCCCGTGTCCCAGGGGAGAGTGGACATACACACTCTCCTTTGTGTTCCAGACACCACTGCTGTCACTTTCCTATACCTGCTGAAATAGTGTACTGACCTTTCCAATTAACCCAAACACTACTCATATCAAAGTGTGCCTGAGCGACGCCTTCAGAAGGTAGATGAGGCCAGGCATCCCATACTCAAGACCTGGGGGTTCTCTCTGTGGGCGTGAGACATGGCGTGTGTGATGTCACTGGATTGAGTCCAGTGAGGTCCCTTTCCATTAAATGTGGTTACACACCCTCACAGCACACTGTAAAGGGACTTCCTACATAGCTTTCCCACTGCACCCGCTGGGAGCCGGATGGACGTACGGGTGAAAACGTGTCACTGACTTCTGCTCAGATGCCACCAGGGGGCGCCCTTTTCCAGCCCCCGAAAGCCTCTGCTGGGTCTGGAGACTTTGCTTCCCGTGTTGAGCCTCCTCACTGGTTTGAATCTTGCAATTTGGTCTCACTCACTCCTGTCTTCCAAGTAGCTTCCCCTGACAGTTCCCACCCAGGATACCTGTCACCAGAGGCCAGGGCTCACTCTGAATCCCCAGCCTGACTCCCCATATTCATACCCCTCAGCATCCCCACTGCTCTTCCCTGCCTCTCTCTCTGCTCGTCCCCCCAGCCCTGCCTGCCTCAGCCTCCTTTCCCTTCTGGCTGGGCATGCACACTACGGCGTGGGTCCTCACTTCCAGCCTCTCCCTGCCCATTACAGAGGCCATCACTCACCCAGGAGCTTCCAAATCCTACCTGTGGTTCTCACCCGAGACCCCTTTAATGGCCTCAGCGTTCAAAAGGGCAGCATGACTGGCACTGGAGCTCCAGGGCTGGCACCTCCCCGCCCTCTCTAGTGTCCCCCTGGGCTGTCCCTGCCCTCTCCACCTTCCCTGCCTCCGCTCCCCAGACACTGGGCTGTGCCCACCCCTCCTCCCCGTGCTTGATGCTCTGCTGCTTTCCCATCCCCACTGGACCAGGCTCCTGGCAGCAGGTGTCGTGCTGGTGTCTCTGTGAAGTGTCCCTGACATCCCTGCTGCGCATTGTCCCCCTGGCACCTCCGTGGTGCCCTTAACGACACCCACCACACTCTGCACAGTGTGTTTGTTGCCAGGCCCAGCTCTCACACTGGACGGAGAGCGCCAAGTTGACACCAGGGCACAGCCTCCTCCCCCCCGAGCCTGCCACGGTGCCTGGCACATGGTCGATCACAAATAAATAACGAGTAAACAGCCCATTACATGTTTACTGCATAAGCAGATGCATGTAGAGATAAATAAAGACCACCCAGACGAGAGCAAGGCCAGGCTCTGAGTTCAGAGCTTGGGAGCGCCCCACCCTGAGATCGGCAGGCAGGGGGCGGGGCACAGGTCCGCTGATTAGGGTCGTGGTGGTGGTGTGGGGAAGGCAGGGGCGGCTGATGGAGAGTGAGGTGTCCGGTGGTTGGTGAGGGGACATGTTTGGCGTCCTCTGGTTGGTCCTGAGTTGGAAGTGGGGGCAGAACACAAAGAAATCAAGCCCTGACTGTCCCAGCAATTGGCTGCAGAGGTGGAGCTGCGGCTTCCAGCTTCTTTGTGGTCCGGAGTCAGTAGCCACGTGGGACTGGCCCCTGTCCAGACGCCTACACTCAGCCTCTCATGCGGGGAGATGAGCGTCTTCCTCCTGGGACTGAAGGAGGGAACAAGAAGGAGAAGGAAGAGGCAGGGCTGCGATTGTGCCCAGGGTGCTGCTGGGCTGCCAGGTCCCTGGTCTGGGTTCTTCTCTGCTTTGGGGTGTCTCATCGAGAAGCTGCAGCCTGGCCTGTCTCACCTCTACACAGAGGAGCCGCTGGGGCCTGACGGAAAAAGGTAGGGCCGCTGCACGTCCAAGCAGCTGTCAGCCACCAGGGAAGTTTTCAGCAAGGGAGACCCAATCTCACGAGTCACTCGCACGTCCTGTCCTCTGGGTGTCAACAGGACACGTGCACGGCCCAGAGCCCAGGATCGACCCTGCAGCAGAGCCAGCTCTGCCCTTGGTCGGGGTGCCCTGTGGGGATGACTCCACATGCCGGGTGCCCAGCCCGACCCTCCTGGGCCCTCAAAACTCAGAAGAATCGGAACAGGGATTATAGCACCAGCCCCAGGAGCTTATGCTCAAAACATGAAAGCTATGGTTTCCCAGATGATTTATGGGGATTTGTAATGTCTTTGACAATATTTAGCATCAAGCTTTTTACTTAGCAGATTGAACTACTATGGAAACAAACTAGATATTGATAATTATAAGAAAAACTGAAGAAGTGTCTGATCCAAGAGATTTTTTTTTTTTTTTTTTTTTTTTTTTTTTTTTTTTTTTGATAATTATAAGAAAAACTGAAGAAGTGTCTGATCCAAGAGATTTTTTTTTTTTTTTTTTTTTTTTTTTTTTTTTTTTGAGACGGAGTCTCGCTCTGAGGCCCAGGCTGGAGTGCAGTGGCCAGATCTCAGCTCACTGCAAGCTCCGCCTCCCGGGTTCACGCCATTCTCCTGCCTCAGCCTCCTGAGTAGCTGGGACTACAGGCGCCCGCCACCTCGCCCGGCTAGTTTTTTGTATTTTTTAGTAGAGACGGGGTTTCACCGTGTCAGCCAGGATGGTCTCGATCTCCTGACCTCGTGATCCACCCGTCTCGGCCTCCCAAAGTGCTGGGATTACAGGCTTGAGCCACTGCGCCCGGCCGATCCAAGAGATTTTAAGCAAATATCCGGGAATAGAGACCCCCATGTATATAGAACATTTGAAAATCATTCGCTTCCGGCTGGGCGCGGTGGCTCACTCCTGTAATCCCAGCACTTTGGGAGGCTGAGGCGGGCGGATTACAAGGTCAGGAGATGGAGACCATCCTGGCTAACACGGTGAAATCCCATCTCTACTAAAAACACAAAAAATTAGCCCAGCACTGTGGCGGGCGCCTGTAGTCCCAGCTACTCGGGAGGCTGAGGCAGGAGAATGGGGTGAACCCGGGAGGCGGAGCTAGGAGTGAGCTGAGATCGTGCCACTGCACTCCAGCCTGGGCGACAGCGCCAGACTCTGTCTCAAAAAAAAAAAAAAAAAAAAAAAGAAAAGAATGAGCTTCCATCCCAGGGGTAACAGCACCTCCAGGGCACTCATGTGGTCAGCCTGTGACCTTTGCTTTTATTGTGGTAAAATATATTTAACATAAAGTTGATCATTTTAACAATTTTTTTTTTTTTTTGAGATGGAGTCTCACTCTGTTGCCCAGGCTGGAGTGCAGTGGCATGATCTCAGCTCACTGCAACCTCTGCCTCCAGTGTTCAAGCAATTCTCCTCCCTCGGCCTCCTAAGTAGCTGGGACTACAGGGATGAGCCACCATACCCGGCTAATTTTGTGTTTTTAGTAGAGACGGGTTTCACCATGTTGGTCAGGCTGGTTTTGAACTCCCGACCTCAGGTGATCACCAGCCTTGGCCTCCCGAAGTGCTGGGATTAGAGGCATGAGCCACCGCACCCAGGCCATGTTAATGATTTTTAAGTGCACAGTTCAGTGGCATGAAGCAGGTTGACGTTGCTGTGTAGCTGCCACTGCCATCCATCTGCAGAGCTTTATATCTTCCCAAATGTCAACCGACCCCGTTAAACACCAACATCCAGCCCACCCGCCCCGGGCACCACCATTGCACTGCCTGTCTCTGTGGGTTTGACGACCCTGGGGACCTCACACATGGGCTCAAACGGTATCTGAACTTCTGTGAGGGGCTCATTCCCTCAGCATCAGGTCCTCAGGGTGACTGTGTGGCCTCCGGGTCCGAGCTGCCTTCCATTTCCAGGGCCACTGACGTCCCATTGCACATACATACCACATTCAGGGCACGGGTTACGTAACACGTTCGTCCACCCTCTGGCCGTCGTGAAAAACGCTGCTGCAAACGGTGTGACCTGTGACCTTTTAGACGCTGGACTTTCCCAGCACAGGCAGCTGCCTGTTCCTGGGCTGAGCAGGGCCCTTTGATCTGTCGGGCACATCGTGCTTCATTTGGAAACGAGGGCTGTGAACTTTGCAAGGGCCTGTGAAAAGGTTTGAGACCAGAAAAAAGTTTTTCCTGGTTCCAAGTACAGGAAAGATACTGTAAACCTGAAATTTAGAAAAGTTATAGGCCGGGCGCAGTGGCTCACACCTGTAATCCCAACACTTTGGGAGGCTGAGATGGGTGAATCACGAGGTCAGGAGATCAAGACCAACCTAACACAGTGAAACCCTGTCTCTACTAAAAACAAAAAAAAATTAACCGGGCATGGTGGCGGGTTCCTGTAGTCCCAGCTACTCGGGAGGCTGAGGCAGGAGAATGACGTGAACCCAGGAGGCGGAGCTTGCAGTGAGCTGAAATCGCGCCACTGCACTCCAGCCTGGGTGACAGAGCGAGACTCCATCTCAAAAAAGAAAAAAAAAAAAGTTCTAGTTGTGATTCAATTTAGCTTTTATGTAGTTACATTAAAAATTATATTTAGAACGGGCACAGTGGCTCATACCTGTCATTCCAGCTACTCAGAGGCTGAGTTGGGAGGATCACTCGAGCCCAGGAGGTTGAGGCTGCAGCAAGCTGCGATTGTTCCACTGCACTCCAACCTGGGCAACAGAGCAAGGCCCTGTCTCTAAACAAAGTTATATTGAATAGGCTTGATATGACTGGAAACACGGCTTACTAAGCTTGCCCGATGGCTGGGGATGTGGCCATTCATCTTGGAAAGTGTTGACATGACTCATTTGTCTAGGATCGGGGCTCCAGGATCAGGTGCGAGGGGCATCTGAGACCTTTGACCTTTTACTTCCTGTGAGGGAGGCAAAATCAGTTCCTGACCTTGTGCTGATACAGTGGCAGGGAAGACAGGAGGGAGTGCTGGGAGCGGGGAGGCTGCCCAGCTGCAGGCAGAAGTGTGGGTGCAGGGACTGCTCATGTGGGGAGGACACTGCCGGGGCTCGGCTGCCCCTGCGATGGGGATGGGGGAGGTGGGCATCCATATTTGGGTTCCTCTGGCTGGTCTTGAGTTGGAAGTGGGGTCACTGACCAAGTCCTGACCTGCTGTGGCTTCCCCAGCAGGCGGCTATAGGCTGTGGCTAGAGCTCCACCTTTCCCCTGAATACACGTGAGATAATATGAGGAATTTAAGAAAAATAATAATCAAAGGGATTCAAGAGACAGAGACAGAGAGAGGGAGAGACAGAGAGAGACAGTGAGATAATATGAGGAATTTAAGAAAAATAATAACTAAAGGGATTCAAGAGGACAGAGACAGAGAGAGGGAGAGACAGAGAGAGACACAGAGAGGGAGAGAGACAGAGACAGAGAGAGGGAGAGACATGGGGGAAGAGGACAGAGAGAGGTGCAGAGAGACAGAGAGAGACAGAGAGAGGGAGAGAGACAGAGACAGAGAGAGGGAGAGACAGAGAGAGACAGAGAGAGAGAGATGAGAGGGAGAGACAGAAACAGAGAGAGGAGAGACACAGAGACAGAGAGGGAGAGATAGCAAAGAGACAGAGAGAGGGAGAGACAGAGAGAGACAGAGAGAGGTAGAGATAGAGATAGAGAGAGACAGAGAGGGAGAAACATAAAGAGACAGAGAGAGGGAGAGACAGAGAGAGACAGAGAGAGGGAGAGACAGAGAGAGGGAGAGATAGAGACAGAGAGAGACAGAAACAGAGAGAGGGAGAGACAGCAAGACAGAAAGAGAGAGGGAGAGACAGAGAGAGAAAGACAGACAGAGAGACAGAGAGAGGGAGAGACAGGGAGAGACATAAAGAGACAGAGAGAGGGAGAGACAGAGAGAGACAGAGAGAGGAGAGATAGAGATGGAGAGAGACAGAGAGGGAAAATATAAAGAGACAGAGAGAGGGAGAGACAGAGAGAGACAGAGAGAGGGAGAGAGACAGAGAGAGACAGAGAGAGGGAGAGATATAGAGACAGAGAGAGACAGAAACAGAGAGAGAGGGAGAGACAGCAAGACAGAAAGAGAGAGGGAGAGACAGAGAGAGAAAGACAGACACAGAGAGACAGAGAGAGGGAGAGACAGAGAGACAGAGAGACAAAAAGAGAGAGAGGGAGAGACAGAGAGGGAAAGAGACAGAGACAGAGACGGAGAGACAGGGACAGGGACAGAGACAGAGAGACAGGGAGAGACAGAGACAGAGAGACCCTGCCCAGCCCCAGCACAGCCAGGAGTGATCAGTGATCTCACAGCATGGGGTGAAGGAGCCAAGGGGGAGGCCGAGGGTGGACTTTCTTTGTGTGGACTTCATATTCGCCCTTCATCTTACATAACGAACGGTTTATCTTGTTAGCGTGAGTGGTGTTCGTTTTCTATTTTCTGGTTATTTATGGCCATCATGGAGAAATCGTTTTGAATTTTATGTTGATCTTGGTCTGGACTCTCCAGTCACTTCTCACGATTTGTGGAGCCTACTGGGGTTTTCCCGTATGGCTTTGGAACCGGGGAGGAAAAGAGAGACTCTCCTAATGACGTCTCCGTCTGGGCCCTGCTGGAAAAGTCCCAAGGAAGGGTTCCTGCCGTCCACCCTGTCCTGGGCCGGTCACTGTGGCGGGGGCGGTGCCGTCCGGGCGTGGGGCTCACAGTGAGCATGGCTGGGCCACCAAACACATGCAGGGTGATGCCACTGCCTCATCTGATGCCTGCACTGCTGTGCGGCTGGGCAGCAAGGACCCCTCCAGGAGGGACCCCAGGCTGAGGCTCCTGCTCACGCTCACAGCAGGTGCTCATGTTCAAATTCATCAGGGGCACCATCGTCCGCTGGGAAAAGAGTTATTCAAAATCCATTTTTCATGTTTTGCCTTGATGTGTTAAATCCATTTTCCATGCAGTGCTAAAAAGAAATGGGTCTTTATGCCACGAAAAGCCACAGAGGAACCTTAAATTGCACTTTACTCAGTGAAATAAGCCGACCCGAGAAGGCTAAGACCGATTCCATCCAAATAGGATTCCGGAAAAGGCAAAACCAAGGAGACAGTGAAAAGCTCAGTGGCTGCCAGCAGCTGGGGAGGGCACAGTGGGTTTTTAGGGCATTCAGTATCCGCTGTGAAGGATACTGAAACGGTGATTCCGTGAGAACGCACTCACCCAAACCCGCAGCAGGCACACACCGAGCGACCTTGTGTGAGCTGTGGATGTCAGGTGATGATGGCGCGTCCCTGTGGGTCTATCAATGGTGACAGATGCATCACACGAGTGCAGCATTATAATAGGGGAAACTGAGGCAGGGGAAAGAAGGTGACATATGAGAATTATATTCTCTGCACTTTTTCTGTAAACCTAAAACTGCTGTAGAAAATAAAGTCCATTATGTTTTTAAAAGTCTGTCTTGCAAAAGAAAGGAGCAGGAAGGGAGTGGGGATGCCAGTGCCAGGCGCCAAGCAGCACAATCCTGGGTCTCCGCAGGTCCACGTGCCCAATGGCTGGCCCAGGGTGGACGATGCTGCTACTGCTGCTGCTGCTGCCGCTGGGGTCCTTGGTGGGGTATGGGCTGCAGAAGCAGCAGATGAACCTGTCCCATAAGGTAGGTGCCAGTGGCCCGATGCCCCTGCAGGCCCTGCCCACAGGGGCTGCCACCTTCCATCAAGAGGCTCTCAAGACCGGGCGCGGTGGCTCACGCCTGTAATCCTAGCACTTTGGGAGGCCGAGCTGGGCAGATCATGAGGTCAGGAGATCGAGAGCATCTTGGCTAACATCGTGAAACCCCGTCTCTACTAAAAATACAAAAACTAGCCGGGCAAGGTGGCGGGCGCCTGTAATCCCAGCTGCTTGGGAGGCTGAGGCAAGAGAATGGCGTGAACCCAGGAGGCGGAGCTTGCATGAGCTGAGATCCGGCCACAGCACTCCAGCCTGGGCAACAGAGCAAGACTCTGTCTCGAAAAAAAAAAAAAGAGGCTCTCAAAGCGACACAAAGTGTCTTCCTGGATGAAACCTTCCCGGAGGCCACACTCACTCTCCTGGCCACACCCCCGGCTGTGCTGCCTAAGCACATTTGAGGCTATGGGATGGTGACCCCAGCACCAGGAGCAGCACTGGGGCCACTACGGCCACGGTCAACCAGGCAGGAAGGAGCAGGGCTGCGTGGGAGCTGCACCGGTGCACACTTCTGTTTTTTAAAATATACCCATTTTTCTTTTTTATTTTATTACTTTTTAAATTTGTGTGTGTGTGTGTGATGAAGCCTCGCCCTGTTGCCCAGGCTGGAGTGCAGTGGCGCGATCTCAGCTCACTGAAACCTCCACCTTCCCGGTTCAGGCGATTCTCCTGCGTCCCCCTCCTGAGTAGCTCGGCTTACAGGCTCCCGCCACCACACCTAGCTAAATTTTGTATTTTTAGTAGAGATGGGGTTTCACCATGTTGATCAGGCTGTTCTTGAACTCCTGACCTCAGGTGATCCACTGGCCTCGGCCTCCCAAAGTGTTGAGATTACAGGCATGAGCCATTGCGCCTGGCCAGAAAATATACTCACTTTTAATAAGGTTGTTATTTATGTTAATAGGCAATGGGATTCCTATTGTTATCTTAAAATTCTCTCAGTTTTAGGGTCGAATGCAGTAACGTCAGTAGACATAGCCTCATCCACAACACTCTGAGCAAGCAAGTCGCACCCACGGTGGTGCCTTCTGTGTGGGTGGGGGGTGGCTACAAGCCTTAGCACGGGGGGGCGGGCCTGGCTGTCAGCTCGCCTCTGCTGGCTGTGTGATCCCGGGCACCGTGCTCGCCCTTCCTGAGCTTGTTTCTTCTCCTGTAAAATGCCAGGCACTGGGCCGGCCCGAGAGCTTCGCCCATGCTCTGCTGCTGCATCCTTGCCCTCAGTGCCTTGGTTTACCCTCTTCCACATGGCTCACGGTAGACATTCCCTTTCTCAGCCCTGGGCCCCCAGCACTGACCTGCCAGAGCCACAGCAGTCTGGGTTTGTTCCAGAAACTTCTCAGGGAACCCAAGTTTGAAGGATGATGACACAGAGGAGCCAGAGAGAGGGGAGGCCCTTCCTGAGTACTGGGTCTGCAGGCCCTGCCCAGGAACAGGTGAGCGAGCTGGTGAGTGGCATTTCAGGTCATCGGGGAGCCATGCAGGAGCCATGAGGAGTGCCAGAGCAACTGCTGTACCACCAACAGCCTGGACCCACACACGCTCTGCACCCCTAAGACCATCCTCCTGCAGTGCCTGCCCTGGAAGAAGGTGAGGTGCATGCAGGGGGTAGGGGGCAGAA